TATTCATTTTAGCTCCGATTTGAGTGAAACTTGAACCTGAATTCATCTAAATTCACAAGCTTTCCAATGGTATATAATTCACTATTTAATAAAATATATTTATAATTATTAATAATTAATATCAAGATGATGTATAATAGTTAACTTAAAAATGTGCTAATGATGAAATTGATATTGTACGGTAAAGTAGATGTCAAATAATTGTCTTTAACATACTTTCTCACTATAAACCTATGTAAACTAACTAGGAGCATTGTTTCAAATTAATTAAATCATAGGAAATATTAGTGCCATTTATTAGTCTATGTCCAAATATAACTAAACCTATGACTTATAAATTATTTACATAAGTTTAGCCTCATACTTTGTAACTAAAATATAAACACACTTAGATGAACCTTCAACTTGTCTGAGGAGAATAATAACTGAGCTAGTTGTAAATGGACCACTTAAAGTTAGTTGGAATAATGTCATGTGAAGTGGAATATATATAGTTCGGTTGACATCCATTAGTTAACAAAACAGAGCCATCTTAATCACATATATCGTATAGCTTCTAGTAAATAGCAACTATTCAGTAAATGATCCAATGATTAAATATTGTTGCACCCACATACATTGTACATCCCAATTTAGATGTACGGTATATCAAAAACCTAATCTTTTGTGTATAGTAAACTAATGAGTCTATGACAAACATCTATAGTGGATAAAATACTAATTATAAATCTTGACCTAATATAATTGTAAATTAGGATTATTCATTGTAAAATTATGTGATGAGATAACCCGTAACCATAATATGATTGACCTAGACAATTCTAACATACAAAGCAAGGGTAATTGTTAACCTTTATAATTTATTTTGACAAGTAAAATATGTACATAATTAAAATAAAGCCTCCATCAATAAAATAATAATACAAATGATTCACATTAATTATTTGACCGATCCAAATCCATCCGGCAACAGAACCTCTAGTGTATAACCATTCTATTTAGATAGATGCATGAATAGCCATTTGCTAGACTAAACCACATAGTAGCCAGATACGTATCTCATTCATACTACATTGGTTAGCTCCTATATAGACCACCATGACAACAGAAAGATTAAGAAACTTTAGCCCTTAGCATGTTGGAATCCATTAGCAAGCGCGAATAATATGAGCAACCGTAAGTTCGACCTCAACAAATATATTTTGTTTGTGCATATTTGATTGTTGCTTGAATATTGGTTTTTCTTGCGTATTCTAGACTGTGTATCGGTTAGTCGTGAGGCAACGTATGCAGCTTCCAGGAGGTGAAGGTTGATCAAGATTATATTAAGAATAAGAACTACTCTGAGCAGGCAAGTCATCACTATTCCTTGAACATGTTGATCCCAATTGCGAAATTGTTTTGTTTACAAATAAAATTGCATGCAATGATGAACATCCCACTTGTGATTATGCCATGCCTTGATTATTGTTTACCCTTAAATCTTTGTAACCATGTTTACGTATGAGTCCCTAGTCAACTATGACAATTGCTTAGAAATGCTATTCTAGAATCATGCATACTCATATTTATCAAATGCTATATGCTTGGGCAATTACCTTTGGGAAGGTAATTAAGATGCGGCATGTGGAGACATGAGCGCCACATTGCCATGATGTTGATGACATGATTTGTGAAAGGAGAAATAAAATTAAACAACTGTTTTCGACTGGGGCGGACGGAGGATTTGGGTTGTATCTGGAAAAGGCTAGTACTGTCCCCGGTCAATTAAGGACCGAGCCATGAAGTTAAGCATGAAACGACCCCCGTACAACCGCACTTCTCGTATGGGTATAGACCTAGCGGATTAGATAGCCGAGCGGAGGCAGTATCCCTGCATAGATGGTTCACCCCTGAGTGAGGCAGGTGCGCTACGGTGGGACAGCCGTTGAAGTAGGGCCGAGAGGCGTGCCCTACATCGGTGTCGCCATTGGTAGGACTGCCATGAGTGTGTGAGAGAGAGAACTTAACTTGAACCATAATTTAATATGTGTGTGAGACTTCTCTTTCCCGGGAGCGCCAGAACTCCTCTCACTGCTAGAAACATGGACGCCTAGAGTGCATGAGGATTTAAGTTCATGGAGCGGGTACTGCCAATGCGAGGTTATCGAAAAGCTTTGCCGTGACGCGTCTCATGTGTTGGGACGAGGCTCATGTGTTGGGCAGTCGCGGAGTGCGGGTAAAGTGTACATCCACTGCAGTGTGAGTAAACCAAATCTATTCGAATAGCCGTGCTCGCGGTTATTGAGCACCGGGACATGTATTACACTTGGCTAGACTCTAAATTCTTTAACTTGTGTGGGATGGGATATTGCATGATGATTTTTATGCTGATGGAGCCACTTCCTGAGAGGAGGGAAGGTGGACGTCCTCAGAAAACCATGACGACTCAATGGCGGGAAGCTATCCTTGGGATCACAATGGATGGTGGGCAGAACCGTCGTTGTTTAATGTGAACATTGGTATTAAAACTTGATCAGTCTATGCTAGGTCTCATGCTTGTGAAAAGATTTGCAAAAGCTTGCTTTACGCAAAAGAACCTGGAGCCCTTCCTTGAAATACCCTCTATCATATGCATTGTTGTTATGGTGCCTTGCTGAGTACGGTTGGTACTCACCCTTGCTATTCATATATCTTTTAGGAGAGTGTTGAAGAGAAGCCCTTGTCGGTACGCTTGTGTATCCAACAAGATGATCGGAGTGCGGTCTTGTTCTAGGTCTCGTTCCCCAGTCGACTGCCTGTGGCATGTTAACCGGGCCCTTATATTATTTTGTCTTCCGCTGTTGTTCTCTGATAGTTGTTGGCCTACCTGGCCCTAATGTAAGTATTTAACTCTTTTAGCCTGAATTCATTCGTGATATGTTGTGATTCAACTATGTATGTGTGTACCAACTACTGATCCAGGGATTGGTACGGATAAACACAGATGATTTCCGATTTCCAAAATCGGGGGTCCACACTTGCCTGCTCAGGATAGTTCTTATTCTTGATATGATCTTGATCAACCTTCACCTCCTGGAAGCTGCATACGTTGCCTCACGACTATCCGATATACAATTTCTATAATATGCGAGAAAACCAATATTCAAGCAACAATCAAATATGCACAAACAAAATATAATTGTTCGGAATATACCTAGGGCTATTCATATCACTCGTGCTTGCTAATGGATTGTAAGGTGCTACGAAGTCTAAACTATGGCTGCTCACATACAGAACTCAATACTCAGGACTACGGAATTATCTATCAACTATTGCTATGTGGAGTTCATGGCTAAACTAGCTTTGATCGTAATTTAAATGGTGACACCCTACAGGAGATTTACCAAGGCTCAGTGGATAATTTAATCATAACAAGAGTTCTAACAGGATGGATTATCTAAGCATGGCTCTACAAATATTACTGTATTAGGGTTCCAACGAATTACATGCTATGTAGGTTAGATTAGTGTGGTCCATAATATTATAGTTAAAGTTTATCTCAATGCATAATTTTACCATAAATAATCCTAAGTCACGGTCAAACTATAATTGTGTGAGGTCAAGATTTATAATTAGTGTTTTATCTACTATACACGCTTATCATAGACTCCTCAGTTTAATATATGAAAAAGGTAGGTTATTGTTCTTGTGTATGATTTAAATGGACTGTACAGTAGTTGTGAGTGCAATAACATACTAATATTAGATCGTTTACTAAGCATGAGCTATTTACTGTAAGCTATACAGTATATGTGATGCAGGTGGATTTGGTGAGTTGGTACTGTTTATCAACTTAAGATTGATTACCAACTTAAAAGATACTATTCCATGGAACATGACATTAAGTAATTAATTTCGTATAGGTGATTTAATCACACTAGCTCTGTTATTATTTCTCATAAACAAGTTAAAGATTCATCTATGAGTATTAATATTTTAGTTACAAAATATGAGGCTAAACTTTATATAAATAATTTATAAGTCATGGGTTTAATTATATGGCCATCGAATATTAAATAAGTACTAGTATTTTCCTATACATCCGTTCATTTGAGACATCACATATACTTAATTTTCATGATTGCTACTGTGAAAAAAAAACATGCTAGAAACAAATATTATTACATCCACTCTACTGTACAATACCAATTTTATTTATTAGCATATTTTTAAGTTGACCATAATCTAATCATTTGATATTAATTATGTAATAATTATAAATATATTTTATTAAACAATGAGTTATATACCATTGGAAAGATTATGAATTTAGATGAAATAAGGTTCAAGTTTCACTCAAATCCAAGTTAAAATGAGCAAGTTATACTAGTTTAAAGATTCAATTTCGAATTAATCCGAGAAATTGTGAAAAGCGACTGTGCATAATTCATTTATTTTTAATCCAAAATATATCATTGTCCCTAACAGCTGCTGACATGTGGGGTCAAAGCTTTGATTTTATTTTTCACAGGATTAAGTTTCTAAAGGAAATAGGAGGAGTGGGGACGGCTTGTCAGTGGCTCGGCTGAAGGTCGTCTTCAACCTTCGTCTTCTTCCTCCCGACCGAGCGGAAGCAGCAGGGGAACACGGCACGCACGGAAGGCCGGCCGAGGGCGAACCGGCGGCGGCTAGGGGAGGCGCGGAGAAGCTCCGGAGACTACCCACCGGCTGCGGCGGCGCTTGGAGGGACGAGGCGCATGGCCGCCATAGCTGCGCCATAGCCGAGCTCGGCTGCAAGTGGCTAGGATGACAGGAAGGGTTTTCGACCAAATTTATGAGTGCGTGAGCATCTACGGCATATGGGGGTTCCATTTTGTTAGCTAGATAGGAAGGGGAGCCCCTGGGATGGCTTGTCCACGGCGAGCTCGCCGGGGGCGAAAAAGTGGCCGGTCCGGCACGGCTTTGGGTGCTAATCGCCAAAATTGGTGAGATACTAAGCTTCTATGGAACTAGGAGAGGCTTTAGGCGCGAGTTATTACCGAGAGGCAGCGAAACGGCGATGTTCGATGCCGTGGTGGGGAGACGGCAGTGAAGCAGAGGTGGACGACGGCGGCGAGCGCGCAGGTGTACGACCGCAGGTCCTCAGGTCACAACGGCACCCGGAGTTGATCCAAGGTAGCAGCAGCAGCAGAGGCATCCCGAAGCCACAGCTCCCGCGGTCGTCAGCACCGGCTCCGGCTTCAAGCAATGGCTATGGAGGCACGCACACAAGGTGCTCGATGAAATGCATTCGAGAGGAAAGGCAGAGAGAGGTGGGGATTTCATTGGGGCTTAGCTTAGGGTGTAAGCAAACGGTGTGGATAAGATCGCCAGCACACGCCTGGACGAGCTAGAGCTCTAATAGCGATCGGATAAGGGCAAGGAGATGGATGACGCGGATAAGTTTTGATCCTCCCAAGATTCGGGTTCGATGCATCGATCGGGCATGATTTTCCATACAGTAGAGTTGCAGGGGAGGGATTGCTAGCTGTGGTAAGAAGCGCTGCATTATCCAGCGGTCTCGGCTCGGGGCGACGAGATGGTGACGCGATGGCGATGCGATGGCGACAAGAATGGCAGCGACAGGCAGTGGTAACGGCCGCCGATAGGGAGGTGCGGCTATTTTCTAGGGTGACACGGAACAACGTGGCGGCCGTTATCCCTCAGCTCGATGGTGACTCGCGATGAGACGGGATGACGCAGGCGCTCGTGGCGACGCGGCCTTTGTGCAGGATTTCGGCGGCTTGGTCGGGCGGCGGGCCCACGCGGGCGTGGCGCGACACACAGCGCGGCGCACGGTGCAAGGTAACCGGAAGGGCGCACTGGTCGTGCACGACACGGTCGCAGCTCGGAGGTGTGGCGCTGTGTGTGCGGCTTGGGCTAGGGCTCTGGTCGAGCACCTCGCGGCCCAGGAACAGTGGCGGCTGGGAAAAGAGAGAAAAGGAAGAAAAGGAAAAAGGAAAAGATGGAGGGGCCAAACTGCAAAATGGCTAAGATTGGATTTGGAATTGAAATGTAGCTCTACACATTTTGGATTTTGGTAATTCAAATATTTCATTTGAATATTTATTTATTTATTCATTAGTTCCCAAATGAATTTGCTTTCCATTAGATTATTCAAAAATTATCCAATATAACTTCTAGGCTTTGATATTTCTTAAAAACTAATTAAATATACTAATGTGACCTTCAATAATACAATAGCACATTGGTCGAGTTTATTTGTATAACAATGTATTTTACATGGACATGCTTAATCTATTATTCCATAAAAGTAAATTGAGACTTGGTACAATATTGATCTAAATGTTTAATTATACACTCTCATAAACGCATTTTATATATAAAGCTTAATTCATTTACATGACCAATTATTTTATCTGAGTGAATTTTATGGCCAGAAAGATACGTTAAATATTAATGTAAATATTCCAATGAAATACTCATCTACAAATAGGATCACTATAGTGGTGGTCATCATTTCATGTGGATAGGTTGTCCTTTTAAATTGGTTTTACCTCTATATGGATCATTATAGTTTAATATTTGTCCTATAAATTAAATTAGTAATTAACCTTCTCTTCGTATGGCTTTGTTGTGGTGTGTAATTATTTATAGAGTTCATAATAAATATCTTATTTTTATAATTATTAATTAGTTGTATAGCTTTAGCTTACTTTTCAATTGTGACAATTTATAGCTTGGCAAGCAATTGCAACTATAACATCCAGCATGATGCAAAAGTTTTAAAAAGTTTAAAATTTTAACAATTTTTATTGTCAGGAATTTTCAGGATGTTACACCGCCGGCAGCGACGACGCGTCGCCCTTGCCGCTACCGGCTGCGAGCTCGAGCTTGCGCGCCTTGATGCTGGTCGACATGCTGGACGCCCACTCCTCTATCTATCCTTTTCTTTTCTTTTGCAGTCCTTTTCTTGTTTGCTTGTACTGCATCCGGCGTGCGTGCGGCGGAGAGGGCGGCCGACGCAAGCGCCGCCGGCGGAGAGGGCGGCCGACGGGAGCACCGCAAGGGAGGAGGTGAGTTCATCGGGCCGGCCGACGGGAGAGGAGCACACCACCCGGCGGGAAAGGAGGGAGAGGAGCGGCGGTGCGCGGCGGCCGGCGGGAGGGCTGAGACCTAATCAAACAAGCCACGTAGGCGCCACGTCAGCCAAAACTACCTTAAAAACTGCCAAGGGATCTCGTTCGCCTGGTTTTCGTAAGTTGGGGGACGGGTCGTAACCGGTTTTGCGGTCAAGGGATGAAAATCGGATTGGGCGACGAACAGAGGGACCCAAAGTGAACTTATTCCATCCACTGGCATCAGGCCGAGCATTTCGGCCTTGTGCTCTGGTCCCACTCCATCCCTCCGTCACAAATCCGGCCCAGCAACACTCACATTTTCAGTCCAGGCTTCACGCGAAAGCCAGCCCGGAATTCACCTCAGCATCAGCGGCCCTCAGCGGAAAGGTTAATCGGCGAACGTTCGCCGCTAGCCTATCGCGCGAATGGGTCAGGATGAAGGAGTTAAGGAGGCAGCGATGCTCCGTTTTCTCTTTTTTACGTGTTTCTTTTCAATTTCCCTTTCTTTTCTTTTTATACGTGATTTTTTTTTAATAATAGAATGAACATTCCGGCCTTTGCTCATCAAAGCTACAGCCAATTATTATAATGTATCACTCAAACAAAGAGTGTAGTTCATAATGAAATTAAACACACCCAACAAAATAAAAAACCAAACCGAAATAAATGACCAAACCGAGATAAGAAGTACACATTTATTCAAGTCTATTTGTGAATCTCCATCCATAGTTTGTAAAAAGTTGCATAACTGTCGTCTCAAGCCTACGATATGCAACCTTCATAAGCTCTCCATCATCTTCACACTTTTGCAGCTGTGTCCAACACCGGAGCCAATATGTTGCCCTGAAAATTATTTGCAAATATGAGATAGATGGTGATTTGTCAAATACCATATCATTCCTACTCAACCACAGAGCCCAACATATGGCAGATGCTCCTACAAATATGAGTTTACTCTTCTTCTTGTCAACCCTCAAAAGCCAACCATCAAACATATTAGATATGGTTCTAGGAAGGTATAAACCAAATGAGAACTGAATTGCTCTCCAAACAATTTTCGCATAGTGACAATCTATAAAAAGATATTGAATGGTCTTGTTTTTCATACAGAAACAACATCTTAAACTACCATTCCAATTTCGTCTTGCCAAATTGTCCTTAGTTAGCACAACCCCTTTTAGCAAGTATCACATAAATATCTTAATCTTAAGCGGCATCTTAAGCTTTCAAATAATCTTATTTCTCTCAATATAACCATTATTAATAAGAGATAGATATATTGACCTAACTGAAAATCTACCATTCTGGTGATAATTCCATCTAAAACAATCAGAGGATTGATTCAACTGAATATGTACAATAGAAACACACAGTTCATGCCAATATTCAAGATTCTAACCAACTAAAGCTCTTCTAAAGGAAACATTAAGTGGAACAGATCTCATAACATTGGCAATAGTAGAACTTTTCCTTCGGACAAAAGAGTATAAAGATGGATATTTGTCTTTAAAAGCCAGGTTTCCTAGCCATTTATCCTCCCAAAACCTTATCTATTCCCCATTATACGTGATTTCTAGTATGTATCACTTCTTTTCGTTTTCAAATATCTTTTTTTTCGTTATATTTTTTTTCTATAGCTTTTTTTATGGAAACTTTTTTGTATGAATTATTTTCATGGAAACTTTCTACATATACTTTTTATATATAGAATTTTCTATATACTCCCTCTGCTTCATAATGTAAGTCATTGTAGTATTTCCCACATTCATATTGATGTTAATGAATCTAGATAGATAGATATATATATGTCTAGATTCATTAATATCAATATGAATGTGAAAAATGCTACAATGACATATATTGTGAAACGAATAAAGTAGAATTTATGTATATAAACTTTCTATATATAGACTTTACGTGTGTGTGAATTTTCTATATATAGACTTTATGTATATAAACTTTAAATATATAGACTTTTTTTTCTTTATAAACTTTATAGTATGAGTTATATTTGCAGTTAGAGAGTACTATATATAATTTTAGTACAAATAAAGAAAATCTAATTATCATCGAATTCTGGATTTTTCTTTAGAAAATATAATCCAATCAAACAACTTGATAATAGGACAAATATGCATGCAGCGATCTGATATGATCTTTGTAACTGAAAAAACAAAATACTATACTAGGAGCTGAAGCACGTTATTGAGACGAAAATCGATCAAACCTGTCGACCTGTTTGTGAGACACTAACGTTCGTGGGCTAAATCCATCCAGCTCTCAGGGCTTTCACAGTGCAGTGACGGGCCATTCAGCCTGGGGAGACCAGGTCGGAGATTCTCCTCCACATCGGATCTTTGCGGTGCTTCCTGAAGAACGGGGAGCTAAATGTTGTCAAGAGTCTCATCAGAAATTACAGGTTTGGGCCCACACTTTTGTGTCATGTACACGACACAGGGAAGGGAGAGAGAGGAGTAGAGGAGATGCGATGAGGAGGAGGTGAACGGGAAGGGATCTTGCCGGAGGAGGCAGCATCGACCACCGCCGAGGAGCTCAACACGACGGCAGCCCCCGTTCTGTGCCGTTGCTGGGGAGCTCGTCGACCCTCCCTCTAGTCGCCGCCATCGCCGCTGCTTCAGGAGAGGAGAGGGTGGCCGCCTCGGTGTCGTCGCCGTCCTCGCCGCCGCATCGGGGGAGGAGAGGGGGTGGATCTCGCCACCATCGCCGCCCCACCGCCGCTTCGGGGGAGGAGAGGGGGATGGATCTCGCCGCCCCACCGCCATCGCTGCCCCGCCGCCGTCTCCGCCGCGTCGCCACTAGAGCCCTCCGTCTCCGGGTCGTCCACCGTAGGCACCCTCCGCCGAGACTGCCTCGGGATTGTTCGCCGCTGGCCAGCTACCAAATTCGGTGGGGGAGAGCGGCGGAGGGGGAGAGGGACGGTTGCGGTGGGTGGGAGAGAGAGAATGGGCGCCGGCGGCGCAGTAGAGGATGGGGAGCGATCCGGAGGTCGTGGGAAAGGGAGAGAGAGATAAAAAGTGAGGACCACGGGTGGGATCCACTCTAAAGGAAAAGTAGATCACATGCACCGTGAAGAATGTTGCTTATAAAGTTCTTAGTCTAGGTGGTAGTTTTGGCTCCTCAGAAATTGGTGACGTATTGTGAATGCCCTCAGCCTACAGGCGCCGGCGTCTGCACATCCCGCCGCAAATACCGCCATGCCGGATGCCATGCCGCGCTGGCTCCTGGCTGGCTATTCGGCTGTCGCTGTGATCGCCGCCTCGTGCTATGGAACCAGAAAGAAATAGAAGGTGTGGCTGAATAAAATAGACAACATTTAAACCTACATTTTCTATTGTCATATGATAAATAATTTTAGAGGGAGCTCCAATGTTCCTAATTAGAAATAAGTTTATCTGAGGTCCATTAACTTGTCAACGAATCCAATTTTCGTCCTTCAGTTAGAAAACCAGATACAATGGGTCCCTTAACAATTAAAACCGGTGCACATAAGGTCCCTCGGCGGTTTAGATGGTGGTTTTGGTTGACGTGGCGTCTACGTGACTAATTTGACTCGGTCTTCATCTGACGTGGCGCTTACGTGTCAATTTGATCTAGAAAAAATAAAACCCGTGGCGCTTACGTGTCAATTTGATCTAGAAAAAATAAAACCCATGGGACCCACATGTCAGTCTCACACACAAAATAATAAAAAAATGGTGGGACCCATATGGGCCCCACATGTCATTCTCAACCCCCCTCTTCCTCCTCTCTTCGCATCTCTCTTCATCTCTATCCCCTTTCCTCTCTCTTCTCTCTCTAGCGCCACCACCACCGACTCCGCTGCCGCTCCCGCCACTGCCACATCCCTCGCCGCCGCTGCCGCTACCTCTTCTCTTGCGCACGATGCAACAGGGGCGTGCGGGGGTGTTGCGGCACCGCGCCACGCCGTGGTTGGCGAGGCAGCTATGGGGCTAGGTATCGACGAGGCACAAATGGCGGCTCCTTTAGTCGTGACTAGGTGCGGATGAGCTTCAAGTGATTTTTTTTTCATTTTGTGTCGTTTGTTGATTTGAGCAGCGGTAGCAACCGCCCTCTTTTTTTTAGGAGAACGACGGCAGGAGATCTGCCGGAATTTAATTAGGAGGAAAAACAGTACAAAACAAGTTCAGTCCCGAAAATAGAAAGAAAACAGAAGCAACAATACACGACACGAAACTATGGAGGCCTAAAAGCCGAGCGACGGAGATCAAGATCTTGTTTTACTATATATGCCACAACTCTCTCTGAGGTTGAAATGTTGTTAAAAATTCTCCTGTTTCTTTCTAACCAAACATTCCACCAAGTGGTAAGCAGAGCTCCTCTCATCGCTTTCTTTTGCTCCTTCGATCGCACGCAATCGATTTGGGCCCACCAATCAGAGGTTCCGACAGAAAGGCCAACATTGTTTGTAGGTAAATGTTGCCAGGAAGTAACTAGAGACCAAACTTCCTTGAAGAAAGGGCATTCACTAAACAGATGATTAGTGTCTTCAAAGGCGCTTGTGCATAAACTACAAATCCAATTGCATGGCCAATGTCTTCTCAACAAGTTTTGAGCCGTGAGAGTTTTCTGGTGGAGGACTAGCCAACCAAAAAATTGAAATTTTGGCTCAGCCGGCGCCTTCCAAAGCGAGGAGAAATCTAAAGAGACAAAAGTTCCTTGATATTGGAAAAGATAAGCACTCTTGCTTGTGTAAACTTTGGATTCATTCCAATTCCAAGAGATGTCATCAGGACGCGGGGTAAGCAGGACTCCCTGAAGCAAACTCCCAAGCTGAACAAGTTCGTGGATTTCTTCTACTGATGTTATTTGCCTGAAAGAGATCAACCAGTTATTGTTATGGAGCTCTTGCTGGACGCTTTTTTGCTTTCTTTTTGCCAACTTGAAACACAGTGGTGCAATGTCTTTTGGGCAGTTGTTTTGTAGCCAATTGTCATGCCAAAAGCTTGTTTTTGCGCCATTCCCTAGCTCAATTGTCGTTGCTGCCTGAAACAACCTTTTATCTGTATCATCACAAGGAACGTTTATGCCAGCCCATGGTTTGTTTTCATCCTTCCAACCAAGCCAAAGCCAACGAAGACGAAGGGCTCGCGAAAACCTCTCTAAATCCAGAATGCCCAATCCACCCAAAATTTTTGGCTTACACACCGTCTGCCAGTTAACTAAACTGCTGCCTGGATTGGTTTTGTCAGGGTCTTCTCCTTTCCAAAGAAAAGATCTCCTAAAGCGATCAATTCTTTTTATCACCCATTTGGGCACTTGCAATGCGGTGAAGTGATGAATTGGCATAGAGCTTAGGACCGATTGGACCAGTGTTTTCCTCCCGGCTGAAGTAAAGAACCTCCCTTTCCAGCCGGGAATTCGCGAGCCAATTTTTTCGATTAACGGCAGGAAGTCAATTTTCCTTAGCTTTCGGATATGGAGAGGCAGACCGAGGTAGCGGCAAGGGAACTGCTTTACCATACCAGGGAAATTTGCGAGAAGAGATACGAGGTTGATGTTCTCACATCTGATCGGGTAGATCTCTGTCTTATTGATGTTTGTGTGAAGGCTAGAGGTTTGCGCAAAGAAAGTTAGGAGTCTCATAAGCACCGATAAGTCTGAAGCTTGAGGCTTCACAAAAACTGCCACGTCGTCTACATACAGGGAGCACCTGAATCTGTCAAAACTCCCGCCCATCGGAGAGAGAAGTGATGCATTTTCAGCCGCCTTAAGAATTCGGTGAAAAGGTTCCATTGCTAGGATAAACAACATCGGCGAGAGCGGATCCCCTTGTCTAAGGCCTCGGACATGGTTTATTGATTGCCCTGGAGATCCATTGAGAAGCACTTGGGAGGAAGAGGTTGCAAGTAAATTGGAAATCCAGTTTAGCCAACGGGTTCCAAAACCAAACTGACGAAGAACTTCAAGAAGGTAGGGCCAACAAACCGTGTCAAACGCTTTGGCGATATCAATTTTGATAAACAGACTCGTTTTCTTCGTTCTATGTAAATATTGTACCATGTTTTTGACGAAGACGAAATTATCGTGGATAGCCCTTTTTCGAACAAAGGCACTCTGGTTGGTGGAGACAAGCTCGCACAGTCTTGGCGCTAGCCTGTTTGCCAACCGCCCTCTCAACCAACGTATCTCCTATCTTCGGCGGCTTCCAGCCATCGGAATCAAATAACAAGCGCAACAGTATGCCGAGCACCCAGAACTGGTCCTCACCTGCACCATCCTTCGCAGCAACGACAGGGCCGACCTCCTTCCGGACGGCAGCGAGCTCCCGCCGGCGGGCCGCAGTGAAGCGCCACAGCACGGGAGCGTCCATGCGGCCGCACATCCACCGGAGGCCCCACGGACGTCGGCGGGCGGGGGCTCCGCGGACTCGGCCTCCGCGACGGCCGCGGACAGCGCCGTCTCGACCTCGGCGAGGCGCACGGGGACGGCGGCCTTGCAGGCCTCGAGTGACGCGAGGGACTCGAAGCTGGTGGAGGCGTCCACGGCGGCGCTAGGGTATCGTCGAGCGACGCGGAGCGGGCTGCGAGGTCCTCGTCGAGCGAGGCGAAGTGGGCGAGCGAGCACGACCAGGCGTCGTGGCAAGCGGCGAGGAGTTGCTGGTGGGAGTCGAGGTGAGCGAGGAGGCGCCGGACCTCGCCGGGGGCGGCGGCGGAATCGCCGGTGGTCGCCATGGCTGTGAGAGCAAGCAGGTTGGGTTTGGACTGTACTCCGTCCTTCCTAAATTCATCATCATATAAGTTTATGCACTAAGACCAAGAACAATTTAAATCACATCACACCATGCACACATTCTCCCACAATACAACATACTCCAAACTGGCAAATGCTAACACTATGCAACGAGATTTTAATCAATACAGCTGTCAGCACATGCATCGGCATGCACGCAGCTGTGGAAGCTAGGGGTTTTCTTAAGTCACATAAGACGTGGTGATTATGGGCATGTTTGTAGAGTTTCTAGCAACTACAGTTTTTCTTAAAATTTCTAACTTTTTAGATAGTATGGATTCTCACACAGATTCTAAGAATTACAATTATAGAATCCAGAAAATAAATCTGAAATTAGAAGATGCTTCTTAGATTCTTAAGCCCCACAAACAAGACCCATAAAACATATAGATAGCTAAAACATTGAGTTGGATAGGTGCAGCCCAAAATGCCCATGAGACGTGCACGATGCGGTCATACTAACACGAGAGGGGTCCATGGACTGAATCGCCGTTCTAGCTTTTTGGTCTTGGTCTTTTTTTATCACTAAAAGCCTAAAATCTATATCAGTTACACGCTTAGGGTTTGTTTGGATAATAGGATAAAAAAGTGGGATTTGCGATAGTAGGGAAATGAGGAATGAGTTAGGATTAAATGGAGGAGAAAGAATGAATGGTTAAGATTTAAAGATGTGTTTTAGTGGGTGGGAAATCATTTCCCTAACTCATTAGCCAAACAAGACCTTACACTTAAACTTCATCGCAGTAGATGCAGATAATGAAGATCTGTCATCATCTAGATTACCTAAAATGTGCGCTCATGTGCAGCCCTTGGTCTCACTACCACGAATCAAGCAGATAGATTGAAACGCTGACAAAACACTGGTCACCGGAAGGCGATAGGTGTGGTCTTATTTCGACTTGTAACTATCCATACCACCAGCAATTACCGGTAGAAAGTTAGAAACGAAGTAAGAACATGAACTGTTTACTACGGCGCCCATGGCCGGAACCGTGATGCTGTACGTACGTAGCGCAGGTGACAACAATGAACAAATTGTTCGCTTGTACATGTGTTTGATTTTGCTTGTGGTTGCCGTGGATTTTGGCCAAAGCTGACCGACTTGTGTGCGACACTGGCGTATCACGAGTGAGTCCAGAAAATAGTGTGAGCAAAAACTCTGCCTGACTTGTAGTGATAAAGTCGTCCACTTGAACGGGAGGAACGCCATTATTCCAACTTCCAAGTCGCTACAAACACAGTAACGGCTGCTACGAAATGCATGGTTTCTTCGGAAATCGGAACACATTTGTTTGTGGTACTCCAGTCCTTACCTCGGCGTCGACTCGTACGTTTAAATCTAGCTCCACTTATACCGGAGATACGACACCCCCAGAGTTTGCGTACACGCGCACGTCCGCAATGGAGCGCGAGGCGTGGCTGCTATGTGCAGCGCTCGCCGCGGCGATGGTCTACTACTACTACTACTACCTCGCCTGCACGACGCGCCGCGCACAGCGGCGTCTGCCTCCTGGGCCGACGCCGCTGCCGGTGATCGGCAACGTGCTCAGCCTGAGCGGCGACATGCACCACGAGCTTGCGCGCCTCGCACGGGAGCAGTACGGGCCCGTGATGACGCTGAAGCTGGGCCTCTTCACCGCCGTGGTCGTCTCCTCGCCCGACGCGGCGAGGGAGGCGTTCACCAAGCACGACCGGCGCCTCGCGGCGCGCACGGTGCCGGACATCAGCCGCGCGCGCGGGTTAACCGGCCGGTCCATGATATGGCTGCCGAGCTCCGACCCGCGCTGGAAGACGCTGCGCAGCGCGGTGGCCACGCACTTCTTCTCGCCACGGAGCCTCGCCGCTGCCCGCGGCGTCCGCGAGCGCAAGGTGCGGGACATCGTCAACTACTTCGCCGGGCACGCCGCGGAGGTGATCGACGTCGGCGAGGCCGTGTACGGCGGCGTTATCAACATCGTGTCGAACGCCTTCTTCTCCGCCGATGTGGTTGACGTCGGCAAGGAGTCGGCGCACGGGTTACGGGAAACATTGGAGGACATCATCTTGGCGATCGCGAAGCCGAACGTCTCCGACCTTTTCCCCTTCCTCCGCCGGCTCGACCTGCAGGGATGGCGTCGCTGGGCGGAGAAGCGCTACGACAAGGTGTTCGGCATCTTAGATGACAAAATCAACAGCCGCTTGGCCGACGCCGACGCTGACGCCTCGACGAAGAAGCACGGCGACTTCCTGGACTCCCTCCTCGAGCTCATGTCCGCCGGCAAGATCGCCTGCGACGACGTGACCACCGTAATGTTTGACGCCTTCGGCGCCGGGACCGACACGATCTCCAACACGGTGGTCTGGGCAATGGCGGAGCTACTCCGCAACCCGAGCATAATGGCGAAGGTGCGCGCGGAGATGGAGGACGTCCTCGCCGGCAAGAAAACCATCGAGGAGAACGACACCGAGAAGCTGCCGTACCTCCGGGCCGTGATAAAGGAGGCAATGCGGCTTCACCCGGTGGCGCCGATCCTCCTGCCTCACCGGGCGGCGGAGGACGGCGTGGAGATCGGCGGCTACGCCGTGCCGAAGGGCTCGACTGTGATATTCAATGTGTGGACTATCATGCGAGACCCTGCAGCGTGGGAGAGGCCGGAGGAGTTCATGCCGGAGAGGTTCCTGCAAAGAGCAGAGGTGGATTTCCGAGGTAAAGACTTCGAGTTCATCCCGTTCGGGGCCGGAAGGAGGCTGTGCCCGGGGTTGCCGATGACAGAGCGCGTCGTGCCATTCATTTTGGCGTCGCTGCTTCATGCGTTCGAGTGGAGGCTCCCTGTCGGTGTGGCAGCGGAGACTTTGGATCTTAGTGAGAAGTTTACTACTGTCAATGTTCTTGTTACTCCACTCAAGGCCATCCCCATACTTGCCTCTCATCAAATTTAAGTGTAGTAGTGGTACGTACTAGGATACTAGCATACTGTCTGCATGTTCACGAGAATAGGTTTACTTCACAGTTTAAATGTCAAATAAAACTATTAGAAGATACTACTGCCACTTCTCTTATTCTTCAACAACCCCGGTACTTCAATCCCTATCAATTCTTGCAACCTTTAAGTTTCAAGCTACGCAACGCTATGCATATTAGTGGTAGCATATTAAATTCGGTATATCACATATATACATAAACACACACGGCGAGAATACCGCATATCAGTTCCTAAACGGAGATAAATTCTCAAATAAGGATAGGGTCAGCAGACAAGAAAGGAGTTACTACCGACTAAGAGCAAGAACAATAGCAGACTATAAGACGGTTATAAGCACATGAAGGAGGGATTAGAGAGGAGAGAGAAGAAAAGTGGGTTATAAATTTGATTTTGGAAGGCTGTTTTAGGTTCTTCTCCCGGCATCATTCTGATTTGGTGGTATCCTGCTCTCAAGTCCAGTTTGGAGAACCACTTTGAACCATGTAATTCATCCAACAATTCTTCTATAATAGGAACAGGATATTTGCTCTTGATGGTTAATGTATTGAGCTGTCTGTAATCAACACATAGCCTCCATGTGCTATCCTTTTTCTTGACAAGTAAAGCAGGTGAAGACCATGCACTTTGGCTGGGCTGGATAACTCCTGACTCTAGCATCTCAGACACTTGTTTCTCTATCTCATTCTTGAGTTCTGGATTGTATCTGTAGGGTCTCAGGTTCACTGGTTGGGCTCCATCAATCAAAGGAATTTTGTTATCACAATACCTGACAGGAGGCAGGCCTTTTGGTTCTGCAAACACATCCTCAAATTCTTGCAATAACTTCTGCACAGGGACTAGTATAATCTGTTTCTCCTCAGAGCTACTTGTTGACAGTTGTACCATGTACATAATAGAACCAGTTTTGGCCATCCCCAACAATTGGTCTCCAGATATTGCCAAACACTGCTAAGGCTTAGAATTAATTCCCATCAACCGAATCAACTGTTGGTTATATTGAAATTCCACCCATTTTTTATTCCAGTCGATCTGCATAGGACTGTGCTGAGTCAGCCAGTCCATTCCCAAAATGATGTCGTAATTACCCAAAGGAATTAATGTGAAATCATTTTTGAAACTATGACCTTGCATCCACCAAGTACAACCAGGAATAACCTTAGTACACTCCAGCTGTCCCCCATCAACTATCTGAACCCTCAATGGTTTCTGCAGCACTTCCACACCATTCAGTTTGTTTCCAATCTGTTCATCAATAAAAGAATTGGTACTGCCTGAATCTACTAGCATAAGCAACTCTGTTCCCTGAATCCACCCCTTGAGTCGAATAGATTTCCTGGATTCAGTCCCATTCAATGCCTGTTGAGATATAGCCAACAGATTCACTTCTTCTTCTTCTTCAGGTGGGGTAGCAGGATCTGAACTCACTTCACTGTCAGTATGCAAGGCCTCCATTAGCTCCTGTACCACATTTAGCTGTACTGAATTGGCACACTTATGGTCCCTCCCCCATCTTTCACCACAAATGAAACATAAGCCCTTGGATTTCCTGTAAGCCTTGAGTGCAGACACCCTGTCTTCCTTTGGTCTAGTTGGTTCAGGACTAGTGAAGGTCACCCTCTGTTGAGTTGAGGTTGGAGTGGTAGGCATAACTGTACTTCTAGTAGAAGACTTGATGTAATTGCTTAACTGATCACTTTTCTTGAAATTGCCAGTTCTAAGTCCTTCCAGGGCCTCTTCCTGTAAAAGTGCAACAGAGCAAGCTGTATCCAGGTCTTGGGGTCTTTGTACTAGCACTACTGACCTCACTTCATCTTTTAACCCATCAATAAACTTGGTCACAAAATAATCAGGTGGTGCAGTGCTTTCATAAGCATTGAGTTGATGCATTATGGCGTCAAACTTCTCCACATATTCAGCAACAGAAGCAGTCTGCTTCACACGCAGCCACTGCCTTATCATGGCATGTTGCCTATCCTTAGTGAATCTAGCACAAACCCTTTCACACAAATCACTCCATGTTACCCCAATCAACTGGCTGCGAACTGACTGTAACCAGAATGCTGCATTGCCCACGAAGTTTAATGTTGCTATCTTAACCTAGTTGCTAGGTGAAATTCCATACACATCAAAATACACTTCACAGTTAGCCTTCCACATCTGGGGGTTCTCTCCATTGAACTGGGGACAAGTCATGGGTGGCACACTATTTCCCAAGTTAATTCCCTGACTTCCCGAAGCAGAGGCCCAAGCAAATTCATCTTGCAAATTACTTGCAGAATTGAGTTTCGGATCTCTCATACCTTGAATCTGGAATGGTGATTGGAACGGTGGTGGTGTTAACTGCTCCTCCTTCGCCTCCACCGGCTTTTTGGCGCCCCCATCCTGTTTCTGAACTGTGCCCTCCAAGTGTTCGACCTTAGTACTCAGCGACCCAAGCACCGACGAGAGATCATCCACCCGCCGCTCCACTTGAGGTAACCTCGCCTCGACCACCCGGTTGAGCTCCGCCAGATCTGCACGGGTGCGCGCCTCCGCCTCCACCCTCTTCTTCTCATTCTCCTCCACCACCTTCAACGGCAAGTCCAGCTTCCCTTCCTGCGCCATGGACAACTAAGCGTGGATTTCTCGGTATGAAGAACTTGCGTCCGCTCCGAATTCAACCAACCCAATCGAGGCAAGTTTCCTTTTCGCGAGACTCAACTCCGAAGAATCGGTCTCAATCTCCGATCGGTAATTCTACGGTCGAATCAAGAGATTGTGGACGCAGAAGCTCTGATACCAGATTTTGTTAGAACCCTAGCTCACGATTCACACAAGCACACAAGAACAAGATGATACGAGGAACTCGATTAATAGATTTCTCTCTTGCGTCCAACCGGACCAAGCCACCGCCGCCGCCGAGTTCTAAGCCAAGTTATTACAGCTGTTGTTTTGAGTATTTATAGGATGTTCTCTCCTCACCAACTCTCTCTCTCTCTCTCTTTCTCTCTCTCTTACATGGCCAAGATGGGCCGATACACAGAGATGGTTCATACAGCCCAGTCAGGTCCCATGTACTTCTTGTTCCTTCGCCGGATGCCTTTTCCCCTTGGTAAGGTGTCTTCCTCCAACCCGTCTTCAGACTGTGCGTCGTCAGCCTTGTTGTCGTCTTCCCCTTCAGGTCCTTCCTTCTCTTGGGACTTCCAGCTGGTACTTCCTTGAGCTCTAACAGGAAGGAAAAACAAAGCAGATGATTTGGGGGAGATAGACATGTTGCTTTGAGATTTGTATTAGACAAGTGTAACACAAAGAAGCAAGGTCTTACAGATGAGTAAAGGACTGAGGTCCTGTGTGATTTTCTTCCGGGGGGAGTGGCGTAGTACATAACTACATATGCAGTGTAAATAGGAGAGAGAGTATGCCTAACGGGAGAGCTTGAGTGCGCCAGTGCTGCTACATGTGCAATGCTTGTTCAACTGGCGGAGGCGAGCATCCAATATCGGACGTACAATCCCTAGCTTCCCTGGCAAAGTTGTCATGCCATACCTCGTGGAAAAAAAAACAATCCCAGTTTCAGTCGCTGTGTGCATATGCATGCCATATGTATCGGACTATCGATGGATGGTGTTTAGCATTTGTATGGTAGGAGTAAGTTGTAAAGTATGAACACAAGAATGTCAGAATGTTGGTTCTCGTATGTGCAGGCAATCTGTAAAACATATTTATGCTGAAAACACTAACGGGCGAACGCAAACGTTATGTTTTCTTGAGTTTTCGGCAAATCCAACAAGAACTCATGAACCATTATGGATCCCGCCTTGAATAATCCCATTTCACTTTCTTCCTTGTGTCGGTAACTCCTTACATCCTCAAGACCAAATTAATCCATATCAGAGAATTTATCTGCATAGTTATAAAATATGCAGTATTCTCGCCGGTGTATGTGTATGTACTCCTATATGTGATATCCCAAATTTAATATACTAACACCAATATGCAAAGCGTTGCCTTCAAAGTTGCAACAATTTCACTTATATTTGATCAGGAGAAACATCCAGGTATCTTCCAGCTAGTTACACAAAGTGATGGTCTAGCTGGTTCGAAGCATCACCCATTTTATTTATTTAATATTAGGTCATTCCCTAATATTTTCATTTTTAGAGGCAAGTATAGGGATGGCCTTGAGTGGAGTAACAAGAACATTGACAGTAGTAAACTTCTCGCTAAGATCCAAAGACTCGGCTGTCATACCGCCAGGGAGCCTCCACTCGAACGAGTGAAGCAGCGACGCCAAAATGAATGGCACGACGCGCTCTGCCATCAGCAACCCCGGGCACAGCCTCCTTCCGGCCCAAAACGGGATGAACTTGTAGTCTTTTCCCCTGAAATCCACCTCCTCCGCCATGTCCATGAACCTCTCTGGCATGAACTCCTCGGGCCTCTCCCACGCCGCCGGGTCACGCATGATCGCCCACACGTTGAAGATCACCGTCGAGCCCTTGGGCACGGCGTAGCCCCCGATCTCCGCGCCGTCCTCCTCCGCCCGGTGCGGCACGAGGATCGGCGCCGCCGGGTGCAGGCGCATCGCCTCCCTCAGCACGGCCTGGAGGTACGGCAGCTTCTCCACGTCGTTCTCCTCGATGGTTTTCTTGCCGGCGAGGGCGTGGTTCATCTCGGCGCGCGCCTTGGTCATTACGCTCGGGTTGCGGAGCAGCTCCGCCATCGCCCACTCCACCGTGATGGCGATCGTGTCGGTCCCGGCGCCGAACAAGTCGAACATTATGCTTGTCACGTCGTCGCGAGCGATCTTGCCTGCGGACATGAGGTCGAGGAGGGAGTCCAGGAAGTCGCCGGCGCCGGCGTCGGCGTGCTTTCCGGTCGAGGCGTCGGCCAAGCGGCTGTTGATTACGCTGTCGAAGATGCCGAACACCTTGTCGTAGCGCTTCTCCGCCCAGCGACGCCATCCCTGCAGGTCGAGCCGGCGGAGGTTGAGCACGCCACCGTTTGATTGTTTGTTTCAATTGTGACAAGCCACACTTTCTTGCTTTATGAGGCTACATGTCATATACTTATTTTCTAGCCAAACATTGCCACACTTGTGACGAACAAATTGTTGACCACACTTTGTTTATCATACCACACCTATGACAAATTGAGTTGTGGTAATATTAGGCAACAACAAACATACACTAATAGTCTTAAGTAAGCGTGTAATCAACTTTAAAATATTTGCCTACAAATCTTACCTTTTGAAAAGAGAATCCCAAAACATAACAAGAATGAGCCACATCATCCAATAAATAATAGTTGTTAGATCAAGAAGCAAACAAAATTGGTAGAATAAATCTCAGCCATTGGATAAAAGAGGGCGTTCTGGAGTTTTCCAGTGTCTTCTTCATATGTGGGAGAGAGATATAAAGCAAAAAAGACACACATAAGAAATAAAGAAAAAATAAATGTTTGTATGGTTGAGAGAAAAGGTAAAAACATTTGTTTCTTGAGACAAACATATATTTTATAATTTTTTCACAACAAATTCTTCAATGACGTAATATCAATAATAGATTATTCTTAAATAGCAAATAAAAATGATAGTGAGTCGCGCGAATGCACAACTTTATGCACTAGCAATTTCTAAAATATTTATCTTAGAAATATGAAGATCATATGTATAGATTAGTCTTAAAATACACTTCAATAAAATCTTATGTTTGTTGATATTTCTATATATATAATAATAAAAAATACTGGTCAAAGTTGATTTTTGACTACCATGTTCTCAGTTTTAGTCTAGAACATAACAAGAATGAGCCACATCATCCAATAAATAATAGCCGTTAAATCAAGAAGCAAACAAAACGGGTAGAATAATCTCAGCTATTGGATAAAAGAGGGTATTCTGGAGTTTTCCAGTGTCTCCTTCATATGTGGGAGAGAGATATAAAGCAAAGAAGATACACATAAGAAATAAAGAAAAAAAATAAATGTTGTATGGTTGAGAGAAATGATAAAAACATTTGTTTCTTGAAACAAACATATACTTTATATATTTTTCACAGCAAATTCTTCAGTGGCATAATATTAGTAATAGATTATACTTAAACACCAATAAAAAAAGATAGTGATAGTCCCGCGAAAGCACAACTTCATGCAGTAGCAATTTCTAAAATATATATCTTAGAAATACGAAGATCATATGTATAGATTAGTCTTAAAATATACTTCAATAATATCATATTTTTGTCGATATTTCTATATATATTATAATAGAACATGCCGGTCAAAGTTGATTTTTGACTACCGTGTTCTTAGCTCTAGTCCAAAACGATAAGTATTATCAGTCCGCAGGAGTAATTTGGTTGTACAACACAATTTGTTAATCTTATAATCTGCCTTGTTTACACTGTACAGCATCTGCGCGCCATAGGAACAATTCATGTTTTCACTTCGTTTCTCTTTCTACTTTTCTAGTTCTGCTGTTGATCATCTCCAACAGTGCATGGGAGGAATTTGTTTCTTGAAGGGCCCCACTTGAAACGCACGAATAGTAAAGCAGGGGAATAGAAAAAAAACAACATTTTTATAAAAATACATATGCAAAACAGAACATTACAAGACAAAACAGTTTTTTGAAACCGAACAAGACAAAACAATAACCGTTTGGATAGATATTAGGAAAAACATCGAATTCGATGAGAGAGAGAGAGAGATTCCAAAAAAAAAAAAAGATTTCAAGATGTTATGGCTTTTACTAGCTTTTCTCCAGATTTTTCATTTGAGCCATTTTGAAATAATTCCGTATGGTTTAGGAAAAAGCCCGATCCTTTAGTTTAAAGGGCCAAATAGAATATGTTCTAAGGAGTTAAAATCCTACTCCTCCGTCCGTCATGAGTTCAAACTTTAGCAACTAATGTGATTTTATCACTAAACTACCGTATTATTCATTGGATTTTCTATCTAGTTTTTTAATAACAGTCTCTATGCCTAAAATTTGTTATAACAGAGGGAATGCATGCAATTCTTTTTCACAAATTCTTTGTTTCAAAGTTGGCCGTAATGCATGTGCTTGTACATTCGGGAACCTGTAATTATTGGGGTAGCCGTTCGACAAAGACTACACCAATTGTTCTCCAGTGCTCAGTCCTCACCGACTCACCGTACTTGAGGTCCATGCGAAGATAGAGGAAAGGGATGACGGTCCATGCGCAGCCAACATTTTTCGGCCCATGGACCTCATCCGTGTTAGAGTACGTTGTCCAGTTGAAGGGGAATAAGTATACTTTGCCTCCCTCAACTCTTGCTGCTGGTTGAATCACATCCCTCAACCGTAAAACCGGGTAAAAAAAACATCCGCCATCTTCAAAAACCGGTACAAATTGTCTCATTCGATAGTTTGGGAGGTGGTTTCATCCGACGTGGCAATTTTGACCATGTTAATAGGCAGAGTCAGTTTGTAGGCCCCACCTGTCAGCGACTTCTTACCTTTCTTCTTGGCGGCGGAACTCCACAGACGACGACAGCGTGCATCGAGCGGAGATGGCAAACCGGTTGGAAGTCACGAGGACTCGCCGTGGATAATAAGGGCATGTTCACTTTGATGCCATTTTCAACCTTAGCAAATTTTGACAAAGTTGCCAAAAAAATGGTTACATTTGGTTTGTTGCCAAATTTTGGTAACTATATAAGAAATTCTGCTAAAATTTTAGTAAGTTGCAAAAAAAATTTAGCAATGCTAAATTTTGGTAAGGTTTTTTTTTATCAAAGTGAACAGGCCCTAAAAAAGCGTTCTGGGTGGCGGATGCCATCGCCTTCGTGTGTCCAACACTCAATCATGCCGAGCTACTCACCACGTTGCTTGAGTTGCTCCGGCGACTCCAGCAGCTAGAGATCACAGTGGATACCTTGACGGTGAGACGACCACTACGGCACTACCACCGCATTCATCAATCGATTCGTCCTCGGTAAACAAGCTCATGTGTTACTAGTGTTAAACTGTTAATGTGGAATTGTGGATTTGTATTGTGTACGTAGGTTACTGAGATAGGAGACGCAGTGAGTAGGTGGTGGAAGCAAATTAAGTAATTAACTCCAAGCAAAATTGTCACCTTGTTCAATTGCTCATCGAGTATGGCAAAATTCGTCATACGACGACGGCATCGTCGGGGCAGCACGGCTAGGATGCGGACCGAGCGGAGGCAGTCTGCGTGTTCAGGTGTTGTCTGCATGCCACTGATGGTTTGTGGATGAATAATCGAAACACGTCGGATAGGGGAAGCGATGAAAGATTTGCTGGAGGAGTACTCCCAGCAGTTGGCGCGGCTCGACGTGCAGGTACGCCCGCCGTCGTTTGATGCAGCTCCGGTGCCAGCGCCGCTGTCATGTTATGCATGTCCGGTCACGGTGTAGGAGCCAGCCCCGTCGCTGACAGTGGCTCATTTTTATGCTTATGACTGACGTGTAGGTCACACAAGCTGACTCAGCCGGTCAACGGGGTCAAAGATTCCACGTGGGAAAAAATCGTCTCCGAAATCACTCAGGAAGTTGATTTGCAACGGTTTTGGGAGTTAGGGGATGAGTTATACCTGGTTTTGCGGTTGAGCGATGGGATTCAACCGGGGATATGAGTTGAGGGAGGCAAAGTAGACTTGTTCCAGTTGAGGCGGGTCATGGGCATCTGGCCGAGCATTTCGGCCTTGTGCGCTGGTCCAACTCCATCTAAGTGGCGTCCGTTCACAAATCCGGCCCAGCAACCGTCACATCTTCAGTCCACGGCTTTCACGCGAAAGCCAGCCCGGAATGGCCGACTCACCTCTCAGCATCAGCAGCGGCTCTCAGCCTACACAGCCTACAGGCGCCGGCGTCTGCGTGTCCCGCCGCACGGCACGCTGCCCATACTGCCACGCCGGATGCCGCATACTGCCATGGTCGCGCCGTGCCGGATGCAATGCCGCGCTGTCTCCTGCCTGGCTATCCGGCTATCGCCGTGGTCGCCTCGCGGATCCGGAATAAAATAGCATGTGGGGCTAAATAAACTATATAAAATATAAACCTTCATTTCTTATAGATGTACTCCCTTCGTACTCGTAAAGGGAGTCGTTTAGGGCAATGTTTAAGTTAAACTTTAGGAATATAAATCATAAAATACTCTCAAGTTGTTGAGTTTAAAAATATAAAAATTATATGAAAATATTTGCCTTGAATAATACTTTTATAAAAGTATACCTATATCAATTTTTAATAAATTTTTTTATAGAAATAAGAAGTCAAAATTATATTTTGGAGACCGTGTCGCTGTCCAAAACGACTTCTTTTACAAATACGGAGGGAGTATGATAAGTACTTTTAGAGGAGGCTCTGTGGGGACTCACATGTTCCTAATGTCCGTAGTGGGAGTTTTAGACCTTAGGCTATGTTCGGGAGGTGAGGGTAGAAACTTACCTACTACGCAGGTAAAACGGAGCAACATATTTTCTTATGATTAATTAAGTATTTCTTTTTTAAAAAAAAGATATTAATATGTATTTTTTAAAGCAATTTTTTGTAGAAAATTTTTATAAAAATTATACTGTTTAGCAATTTAAAAAGCGTGCGTGTGGGAGAGGTGAGTTGGGGACTAACAAATAACACAGCCTAGTCCTGTGACTCCAACGTCCAAGAGCTTTTGCTGTTACGTGCCCATGCATGCGCCGTCCGTCTCGTTGGATGGATATCGCGTCGCGCTCTCTACCGTCGCAGTTGCCACTTGCCAGTTGGGGTCAGGTCATGGCTCCCTGTTTCACTATTTGAACGAACCACAGTTGTAGGATGGCCTCCAAGGGCTCCAGCGCATTTAGGTACAGTAAACCAAAGCAAAAATCGTCTCACCAAACACAAACAGTGGTACAGTAAAACTCGCTTTTAGATTGAGCACATTCATTAATTTCGAACATACTCAAACCGCATTCATGCGGTTCGTTCGCTGCACCGAAGTTTCTGGAACGGATCGAACAGCCGGCGGCATGC